AGCTGACTCTAATTTCGTTGAGCCATTTATGCAAACCTCGTAAAATTCTTTGTTCTTTGGATCACTGGTAATTCAGTATTCAGTTTATCAATTATCTACACAAAGAGATCTTATAGAGAAAGTGAAAGAGATTTAAAGACATAAAGCTAGCGAGCTAGAGTACAATATAAGCTAAAGATTATGAATCTAAAGAAATATCAGAAACCCACTCTAGAAGCCCACATTTTCCACATAGAAACCTACAAGAATGACTCAATTTCAGCCACCAATAAACGTCTCGGAGAATTCACTTCTTTCTTCAATTCCTCCTCCATCAATCGTCGTGCAATGTCCCTCAAATTGCACATCACCCAATCATGCTGATCAGAAGAAGAAATTCGCAAACAATCGACCGAATAATATTTTCAACTTTTACACAAGAGACACCTCATGGTAATCTTTAGCTCAAAAAAGTCTTTTCGCTCCTTTTCGTTCCGTTTAAGCCAACAAAACCAATTAAACATTTTCGTTCTTTTTCCTTTTTCAGAAATCCATGGTTGCTCTTCGCTTAATAGCGCGCCCCAGCTACCGTACCCTCGCCGCAAGCAATGCGCGTATATAAGGTCATTCCGCCCATTTTTCATTTTTCGAGTGGGATTGTTTTATTTTTTAAGTTTATTTTTTACTTTTCTAATTCTGAGATTCTTTACTTCTTATTTAGTGGATTGATATTCGGTTGTAAGTTTGTTGGAACTTATAAAGAAAAGCAATGACCTAACTTCGTGCAATTAAAATGAAAAAAATGGGCGAAATGGTCTTATATACGCATTGCTTGACGACGGTGAGGGTGCAGTAGCTGGGGCGCGCTATTAAGCGAAGAGCAGCCACGGATTTCTGAAAGAACGGAAGTCAATTGAACTACGGTTTGTTTCATTAGAAAAGCCAATTATTTTTCTGCAAAATAACGTTAAAATGGGTTTTAAATGTCTTGATTTTTTTGAAGCGTGAAGTCGGGTAGTCAAAAACGGCTTACGGCTTACGGTTTAGGCACTTTAGCTAAGGAAACCTATCTTTGTGTCAATAGATAAAAGATAGAGCACAAAAAGTTAAGTATATAGCCAAATTTTCAGAGAAATTGATTCAGCCAATTTCTTCGTAGAGGTTTTTATAGATTTTTATGAAAAAGGCAAAGAACACTCTCGAATTTGCTTGAAAGTGAACCCAAATTCACTTCAAAAGATGGGAAATTGAAGAAGAAATACTTTTTATTTAGATCAAACCATAGGTTAATTGGTGAATTTGTTATTTTTCAACGGAAGTATGAGAAGGAACAAAAAGATTTTCTAGATTTTCTTTTTAGCCTAATAATTTGATTTTGATTAATTAATATGGGTTAACAATGTTCTGATTTTCTGGACAGGATCATTGTTTATTCAATTCAATATTTTCAGTGCTGTGAGTATTGGTGAACTTTCTGGTTCAACTCGTCCTTCAACAGCTTTGTCGGATCTTGAAGAGGAAAGGGATCCTGTATCTCCACCGCCGGGTAAGAAGAATAAGAACAAGATTTAGAAACAAAAAGATTTAGAAAGTTTTGGTTCTGAGATTTAGAAAGTTCAAAAGTTTAATTGAAGGTAACTTACGAGTACGGTATAGTTATGGTAGTATTCGAAAGTTGACAAAGGTCCAATGGCCAAAGCCCAGGTTTCGAATAAAGTTCCAAAGACCAATGGTTCCATTATGATTCCAATATGTATCCAATATGGTTCCATTATGGTTCCAATATTGTTCCAATATTGTTCCAATATGGTTCCAATATGGTTCCCATGTGTTTCGAATAAAGTTCCAATATGGTTCCAATATGGTTCCACCATCACCAACCAAAAGAATAATACAAAAATGGCATGAATTATCACAAATTGACAAGAACAAGATACGAAATTACGGTAGTATTTGAAAATTGAGATGTTTTAGAATTAAAACCCATCATAGAAACCCATTACTCATCATGGAAACTGACAAATCACTTCAGGCAAGACTCTCCTAAACAAGACGGGCTACCAAGAAGAAATCCAATGTATCGATGACGAGGATGCCGTGATATGAAAAAAATCTTATAGTTTTTGATCTCTAATTTAAACCTCTACCTATTTGTTAATCTCTAAGCCTCGATCTCATTACCGTGTTCCCTCCACTTTAGAAAATATGGGTCACTTTTGTCAATGTGCTGATCTCACTCGTTATTTTTGGATCTTTTGAAAGTTTTTACCGGTATTTTCACAATAAGCTTTCTTATTTTGTGTGCATAAATTTAACACTGAAATAAAAATTTATTGAATCTAAAAACATTTGAATATAAAAATTTGCATTTAACAAATAAACCCAAAAAAGCATCAATTTTTCCTTCATACACAAAAATCAGACTACGAAAGATGCTCGGGCTTCGCTTGCCTGGTAAATTTTTATTATTTTAACTTGCTACTTGACATTTTATGCTTGCAAAAGGTTTAAAAAGTAGAGAAAATCAGAAGTTATTTGTTTGTTTTTAGACATTCCTAGTGCCCCCCCCCCCTGTGTCCCCCTAAAAGTTATCATTTTATTTCTTACATTAAAACAAATCTAATGATCTAATGAATCTGATAATCTAATAAGTTTGAAGAAAGTTATGGGCAAAAAACGTTTAGAGAAACATAGGGCCCCCCGGCCCTATGTCCCTCTAAACTCGGAATGTATCACTGTTTTCACATATTCAGCCAAATTGGTTTTCTAAAACGCACTTGTTTTAAAAGCAAAAAAGGAAACGAAGTATTGCCTGTTTTTATACATTTCGGGTGCCCGCCCCCTCATGTTTTATAGCTTGTTGTTAAAAATTGTTGAAATTGTTAAAAGTTCATCGTTGCGCAACTGAATATCCGCTACAGTTTTGGGTATATAACCCTTTCCAGAGAAAAACTTTTCATTTCGCTTTGATGCACTCGTGCAGATTACGCTTTTTTAGACTTGTTTTTGAATTTTTAAAACTTTACCACTGTTTATAATGTTTTTACTTTCAGCTACGATGAAATTGTTTGGTCGCTCGACGAAGACGCCACCTGAGATGGCGAAAGGACTCAAAGATGCTCTTCTTTTGATTGAAGTCGACAAAGAGAAGGATCGACGACGGAGAATTGAAGATGCCGGGAAACACCTGATGGCAATCAAAATGATGATTCAAAGCAATGAAGGACAGGAATCTGCAATTGAAATGGTAAGGGTTTTGGTGCTTCATGAGGCTGTGGTGGAATCGCCTATTCTAGTGTGGCTGCGTTATCCAATCTATTAGGTTGTTCGGATATAAACGAGCGTTTTAGTAGTCGACAAAGTTTACCTTAAAAACAGAAACAACACAGTTTAATCCAAAGTATATTCACCATTATGATTGATTGCTTCTTGCCATCTTTTGCGCAAAGGATTGATGCCGCTCTTGAAAAACTCAGCCGGCTGTGACTCGAAAAACTTGGCGACCCAATTTTGGACATCTTCACGGTTTTTGAATTTCTCATTGGCCAAAAAGTTTTGAATCGACCGGAATCAATGGTAATCGGAGGGAGCCAAATCGGGAGCATACGGCGGATGTGGTAAAACCTCCCATCCTAGATTCTCCAGTTTTTGCTGAGTCATCTTTGCAACGTGAGGTCTAGCGTTGTCATGGATGAACTTTATCTTTGATGTGTCTACTCCGTGACGAATGAGAACTTCATTGACCCGATCAAGTTGCTGTTTGTAGAGGTCGGATGTGACTGTTTGGCCGGTTTGTAGAAGCTCGAAATACACGAGGAGCTTGTTATTCCACCATACTGAGAGCATGATCTTTTTCCCATGAATGTCCGGTTTCACGGTCGGATATGGCCGTTCTCCTGGTCCTAGTCATTTCCGTTTTCGAATAGTATTATCGAAATGGATCCACTTCTCATCTCCAGTAACGAGAGAATCAAAAAAAGCCATGATATTTAGCGTGGCGGATGAGGATTTCGACAATAGCGACCCGTGAAGCCTTGTTTGCACTGCTTAACTCGTGAGGAAGCCATTTCCTGCATCTGATCGTCTTTCCAATGGCGTGGTGATGTTCATCAATAGTAGAATTTGAACATAGAAACTGTTTAGCAAGTTCACGCGTCGTTTGACATGGATCCGATTCGATTGCAGCCCTCAAAAGATCGCTGTCTACCGCTTGAGGTCGACGAAAGTGTTCATCATCCTCGAGACTTTCATCACCATTCCGAAAGCGTTGGAATCAGGCTCGGCATCGGCTTTCGGACAATACATTATTCCCAAAGGCTTTGACCAAATCTCGATGGGATTCTGTTTTGCCCAGTTTGTAATCGTAAAGTAGGCTTATTGATAAGTAAAGTAGACGCGAACTTGATGTATTTGAAGTCGATCATCTAAAGAAAAAAGAAAAGCAAGAAAAAAGATCTTAAAAATAAGAAATTATCTGTTTAAACAGTTTCCAAATATGCGCAAGATTAGTACTTTTAAATACAGAAAGATATGTTTTAAAAGCTTCTCTCACAACAAAAAGTTTATCTCACAACAAAAAGTTTAGCAACGCTTGTTTATATCCGAACAACCTAATAGTAATCAACAAATTGGGCAAGAATGCCTCTGAAGGTGGTTGTTAGATTTCGAATTAGACGCCATTCTTTGTTGAGCAGAATTTGGGTGCAAATGTTTAAATAGGGATTGCTCAAACTTTACTTACATCTTACATATGACTTTGTGTTGCAAAGTGCCATCTCCAAACCATCCGCAGCACTTTAGTAATATAGCTTTGCATGCACCTATGTTGAGTTAGCATAGAGATGAGAAAAATGTAACTGCAATCAATGCTACACATCAATTAATGTTCAAACTTGTGCAAGACGAACGTTTCGACATTGCCGGGGATTCGTTTTTGACGCTCAAAGAATTGCTCACTCGACACAAAGCTCTCGTCTCCCACTTCATCAACCAGAACTACGTGTGTTTCTTTGAGCATCTCAATGGGCTCCTCGCTTCGGACAATTATGTGGCGAAGCGTCAATCCATCAGAGTATGTTTTACCTTATTATGCGTGTCGATTAAATCAAGAGTTCTTTGTCGTTCAAAGCCAATTAAATCATTCAGATATTTCTGTTTTAGTTACTCGGCGAGCTGCTTATCAATCGTCTCAATTTCTCGGCGATGATCCGTTATACGTCAAACAGTGAGAATTTGAAGTTGGTGATGAATCTCCTTTCTGAGCAATCACGAGCTATTCAATTTGAGGCCTTTCACGTGTTCAAAGTTTGTACATTTTCATTTATTTTTAATTGGGTTTTAGGTGTTCATCGCTAATCCTGAAAAGAATCAAGCCATTCTGGCAATCTTAACTCGCAATCGGTAGGTTATTTCCTTGACTTTTTCACGAATATGTTAATTTTAGAGTCAAGCTGCTTGGATTCCTACAGAATTTCTGCAATGAAAGGGACAAAGATGATCAATTCAACGATGAGAAGGACTACGTGATGCGGCAAATCAATACACTCCCATCGCACGACCAAACTCGATCAATGTCGCCAGGCCGTTTGATGCAGGGCGGCGAAGAGCTGCCCATTTCGCCTCTACGAAATTCTCCTCAACTTTTGGAGCAACCTCGCGCATTTGCCAAGATCAAGTCAGTGAAGGCGATCTCGCTGCTGATGTCACGCAAAGGCGTTATGGAAGAGCACGAGTCGTTGAGGTGGATGGACTTTGAATTGTTTATATATAAAATTATTTAGGCTGTTTCAAACGAGCTTGTGCGGGTAATCTTTATAGATGAGGGACGACTGCAATGGGTCAATCCAATCTGTTTGGCCGTGATGCCAGTGAGCTGTGCTTCCAATTCACGTAAAATGTATTCTAGGACAATTTCTACTATCATCCTTGGCAAGCAATGTACATGTGTCTGGGTGGAGTTTCGCCAATTGATTCGTGCATGGTAAAGTTAATGCTTGTTCTCGTGATTATTTTTGATTTTAGACTGAACCAAGACCTCGTTGGACTGAAAAACATGATGCGGCTTTTCGTGAAATCATTCGAGAGTTTGAACTGTTTAAGGTAAAAGCTTGGCTACAATATTATCAATTTAAAGCGTTCTATACATTATGTTGCGGTAAAATAGTCTTTGTTGTTTGAAAAGGTACAAGCTGAGTTTTAGGTTGTGGTCATCAAAAGCACAAAGGAAAGATTATTCGCAGATGTAAAAGAGAAATGACTGAAAATCGAATAAAAGTTTCTTTTTTTTGGTTCCTGATGAAATGATGTTTGTTACGTCGATTGTACCTTATTATATCAAGATTTTTGATAGCTGACCCCAAAAATTTTTCTAAAGTCAATCTTTCTCGGATCTGTTTCTAGATTCGAGTCCGAAATGAATTGCTGACATTATAGCTTTTTAACATAATCTACATTTCGTCCCAAACGCACCTAACTAGTCGAGAATTTTATGCTGGACTCAAATCTGAAAACAGATCAGAGAAATATTGACCCTAGAAAAAGTTATGGGGTTAACGATCAAATTTTTGGGATTTTGACTGTCTTCTGCAGAAAAGATGCACTATATAGTGCAGGAAAAACAATGCTAACTTTAAAAACTGACTAGTCACTATGAACGATGACTGGTTTTTCCAAAAACACCTACATGTTGGGTAGATGCAGTTGCCCCTACCTGCATTTAATGTTGTAATTGAATAGTGTCAAGGTTTATTCCTTGGTCGTACGACTAGATGTTACATGAGTCCGGACTGAGGATCAGAGTCGTTTCCAGCGCCCTTTGTCTGGGCGTAACCCAGACCAAAGAGCCGCTGACCTCAACCCCAGTGTCTCAAAGAATAAATGCGAAACAGACGTGCATCCAATCTTGCTTTCAAGTTTTGGTTCAGATTTTCCGTATTCGTTTAATAAGGATCTTAAGGAAGATGGCGTTCTTTACGTTCAACGGGGTGACGAAAAAGCTGAAAGTGGCGGCGGTGAAACCGGCGGTGCTCTCGACGGTGTTCAAACTCGAGCCCGACTCGATCGTGATCACCGACGACGACGAGGGAGAAGTGCATCTGGCCGATGGGGCTCGATTCGATCCACCCCTCATCGACGGGCATCGATACAGTGTTTGCATTTTAGCCTTTTCTAAATTTAACAGCTTACTGCATTTGCTTACCTCAAAATATACAATCAGCTTTAGTAGAGAACGAAGTTCACAAATTAACTTTGGTTAATCATGATTTCAATGAAGGTCTGGATAGTAGATATAGTTTCGAAGGTGGGTTCGATCCATCGGATCGGATCAGACCAGATGTATTCGATAAGCGAATTATCGGGTCTATAAAACCGCAAGTTTTGGAGATTTTCTGAATCGAATATATCTGATATCTCATTGACCAGATTCACCGGAACGGATCGGATTGCAATGGTAATCTTCTCTTTAGGTGGACGGGGCCGAGCTGGCTTCGGTTGTGGCTCAGAGAACGGCGGAGATGGAGCGACAAGCGGCCGCCGATCGATTAGCCGCTGCCAATCAAATGGCCATCTATGGACGCGAGAGGGATGTGGCCGGGATCAAGGGACAACAAAGAGATGTGGGTAGTTGATTATATTAAAGTTTGTTCAGCTCGGGCGTTCATAAGTTCGTCTAGTTCGTTCACTTCAGTGCACGGACTTTCAACTTCCGACAACTAGAAAGTGCTCCTTAGAAAATCCGTGCAGACCAAAGTTTGCGTTTACTCTGAAAACAAGTGGATCTCCTAGAGTTTTGACTTGTGATCATTAGCTGCCACAACCCTGGTAAATGCTAAATATTTTGTGAAGAAGTTTTTGAGCACACTTCATACGTGGCTTTTCTCTTTACGGTTTTCTTTCTTGAAGATGAAATCTTGTTGTTACCACTAAACTTTTCAGAACAGCTATCGGTTAATTTGGAAGCCGTAACAGTTTAGGAAATTGCTTTGAAAAAATACCTTGCGGACCTCATAACTTTTTTCAGAAAATATATTTTTGTGTCAACCTGACCCACCTAGTGCATAATTTCATGCTCAGACTCAAATCTGAAAACAGATCCGAGAAATATTGACTCTAGAAAAAGTTATGGGGTCAGCTATCAAATTTTCGGGATTTTGATAAGGGATCGTTTGAAGTTCCTTTCAGAATCTGATCACCGTCTTGATCTCAACGACGAGCGATCTGGACCAGAGTGTCGGAATGTTGTACAATGCTCCTCAGGCTGTGGTCCTTGTCGAAGCTCTTGCTATCTTAGCCGCTGCGGCCCCTGATCCATCGCTTGTCAGTGAAAACATGCCCGCCGAAAAGTTCACAAGACTCAAGACACCATCGTCTTTCAAGGTGGATTTTTGAATTATGATAGGTCAAAATCACCATTGATTAGGCTTCGCTGTACCAAGTGGCCTCGTCAATGTGCAACGCTTTCCGGACGGCCGACGTCTCGATGATGACCATCAAGGCGAAACTGGTGGATTTGCCCGATGACTTCGTGTCGACACTGGAAGTGATTGGAGAGGTATTGAATGAATATTTGAAAATTTATATGAAACATATGTGCACTAATAGATGTGCATTTAAAAAGCAATTAAACATGGACATTTATAAAAAAGGCTACACTATTCTTTCAAATATAAAAATGTTTTCCTGAAATAGCGAGCAGCAGATAGAATACCAGTAAAAAAATTATAACTTTCATAATGTTTACTTTGAATACAGATTCACGAACCAAATTTACAGAATGATGATGTCGCTACTCAGAAGATCCTCAAGCGGACCACCGGTCGAATCGCCGAAGCGTCGAAGAAATGCGTGGAAATGGCCAAAAAGTCGAGTGAGACATTTCGCGAGACCATCGATGTTATCGACGAGCTATGCCAAGCCGCTATTGTCGCAAAGGGAACCAATGAGGCGGCTTTGACGGAATGGAAGAAACTGAAAGTGGACTTGGATCAACGAAAACAAGCACTGCAAATATCCGAACAAGACCTCCGACAACAGCACGAGGAGAGAAAAGAGCGAGCAAAGGAGGCTCTTCAAGAGTACAAGGTGGGTGCTGTATGCTAGATATGAACATTACAGAGTAAGTGCCCGGAATTCTTGTTTTGCACAGGATAATTTTGAAATGCAACAAGAATCGATTGCCTAGGTGTACCGGTTACGTGATTACTACTGTAGTTGCTGTTTTTGGATTAACTAAGCCTACAAGCAGCTTTTCCAAAGTTTAGTAAAACAAGGAAGATGGTTTAGGATCAGGTGGCAAACAGTGGCAATGTGGGAAAGATGTTCTTGGCGTTTACGTGTGATGGAATCATGGATACGGTGAAAGCGGCCGTCTCATTGCCGGGGAAAGCCCTCGAGATATTGGGGGAGAAACTTCCGAAGTTGCCCGGCACCGAGAAGTGCTCACCCACAATGCGATATGCTATGGTTCGTGTTACTTTTCGTGGAGTATATTTTGGTAACCCAAACCCAGATAAAGTAGATACAAAGGTTAATATACATATAGTCAAGTTTAGTTGCTCATTAGTAGACTTGGTTTACGGACCAGCTCCGTCTCGGGCTGGTTCGGCTCAATAAGATCCATTCAGACAGACAGCCACGACTGAAACGTAGTGCTGCTGGAAGAAGCCTTTTTGGACTTTTTGTCACTGGTTATGCCAACACACGAAAATAAAGCCTTTGTTAACTGACAATAATCAAACAAAGTCAAATGCTTTTGATTGGCTCAAGTGGGCGCCCCGCACCCAAAAACGAAGTTTATGCTTAGCCTTACAAAAAGTGCTTTGTTTCTCTTACTATTACTACATTTTAAAGTCATCTAATTTCTGAGTTCTAACTTGTAAAGAACTCTTTTAGGAGTGGAGCCTGTTGCAAATGCTGGAGCAGATCATCGGGGATTTGGCGCATCCCGGGGAAATGGGCGAAGAAACGGTGAAGGACTATATCCTTTCGTTGAAAGACTCGGAGAGGTACTCCCCGTTGACCGATGACGGCAAGGAAATCTATCGAAAAGCCAAGAAAGTCCGCGAATTTCTTGAGAAGGAACATCAAAAGCTGAAAGATTGTGGATTGAAACCAAGAATTGATGAACTAAGGGTTTCAGTTGGGAATGTGATTGTGGCAGCAAAAAGCGTTCGAGAGGATCGACAAAAGGCGAAGGATGAGAAAACGGCTGCCCAGCTATCATTTGCTGAAAAGCTCGTTCAAGCCGAAACGGTGAGTGGTTGGAAAGAAGAAATTGATATTTGAAGATTATATTAGGCCAAGTTATTTGACAATTAATGGAGACAGTTTATGCCATTTTTCCATCTTTTCAGTCTAAGATTATTTCCAGGATCAAATTCGAATGAGCCAATCGTATTACACCGAGGAGAGCCAAAAGGAGGAGAAACTCCGCAAAGAGCTCAAAGAGACGACAATGGAACTGTCGGGAATTTTGGGGAAACTGAAGAATTTGGATCTGGAGAAGGTCGATCTAGACGATATCATCAGCTATCTTCAAGATGGAATTCAGTACTTGGGAAAGGTTTGCTAATATCTCAGCAAAAATCAAATGAAATCAAACAGTTTTTAGGTGAAAGAGAATTGGAACGAGCTGACTAACTTCTTCGATGCAATCCTGATTTTGGTGGAAACGAATCTGAAGGACAACATTGACTCTTTTCTGCAAGAGGCTCAGGTACAGTAGGAATTGAATTAAAAACTATGTTTGATTGGATACGACAGACATCTTTCTAAAAAACTAAAAACCAATGTTGCAGTCGAATCATATTCAAATCTGAAATTCCAGGACCCGGCGTCTAGAGGTCGCATGTTGCGAAGTGCGCTGAAGGCGACCGGTTACTGTATCCAAGCGGGCAATTGTGCCCAGATCTACACACAAGTCTCCAGCCAATATGTCATGCCGACAATCAACGGAGTCGGAAAGCAATTCGCTCTGACAAACGCCGAAGCTAAAGTGAGTTCGAGTTTTTTTTTGAGTTCCAACTTTACGCGCTTGTATCTCCAAAATCACAAAACCAATTTCGACAAATTTGGTATCATTTTGTTGGAAAAGACGTGAATTTACTTAAAATAAAGTTACATTTGAGAAAGGGCAATTTGTTCTACAAAATTTCGATATGATCGGATTCGGACGCCTCAAAAAATGTTGTGAAATTCGAACGTCCGAATCCGACCACATCGAAATTTTGTAGAAAAAAAGAGCTCTTTCTCAGATGTAACTTTATTTTAGGAAAGTTCACGTCTTTTCCAACAAAATGAGCTATGGTACATGTTATTTGACAAATGTTTAGGTTACTAAAAAGGAGTCACAAAAACAGTCCTTTTTGAAGGTTTTTTGTTAAAAATTTTTTAGCCTCTTAATAAAATAAAAAGATATATACGTCATTTTGTACAGCAAAAATTTATGCATCAATTGATACCAGAACCATGAAAAAATATCAATCCTGCGCGTTTTACAGGAATGTGGCCGGATCCGGACGCCTGGTCTGATTCGGACATAACATATAGTATACATACATGATTTCGGGCAGGGCTCGGTTGCATCCGATGGGTCGGACCCACCGGATTGGCTCGGATCGGATGTATTAAATAAACCGATCAGATTAGTTCAGATAGAGGCTCAAATTTTCTTCAAAAAACAACGCATATTTTGGAAAACTTTTGAATCGGATAAGATCAGATATATTCAATGCTCAGGCCCGTCGGACTTATGCGAACTTATCGGATCGAATCAGATTCATTTGATGGTCAATTTTACCTGATCAGATATATCCGACACGATAACCATCAACTTCTTACAATTCCAACATGATCCACGTTCTTTGTCTTCTTCATCAACGTAAAGAGTTCTTTTCAGGCAAAGAAGGGCGATATCGAGAACATGCTCAACGCGTCGGTGCTCGGTGTGCAAACTTTAATCGAAAACGAGCGAAAGAATTTCAACGAAAGATTCAAGGACCAAATGATCGGATATGCGGATAGCTATGCGAATTGCATCACCGATCGACCCGTTCAACAAGCCATTGGAAAATAAGAATATCTCTTGTTTCTGTGATGTTTATAAAATAAATTGATTTTTCTTGAGTTGGTTTTGTATTTTGAAGATTTTGAATATCTTTGTATCTATCAAAACTTATGGCTCTTTTATGTTTAACTTTGGTTTCAGTATGGCTCTGGCTCAGACGCTCAAAACTCGATACGCCGAGCAAAAAGAGGAAATCGAGCAAGTTTATCGAAGTTTCAAGGGGGTTCGTTTTCGGATTCAATAAGTTGCAAACTCTATCATGTTATTGTATAAGAAGTGAGAAGTACACGTGTAAAATATTAAAAATAGTAAATGCTTTTGGTCAGTACAAGTTTACTCTCCAAATTTAGTGGCTTTTTGATAATTATAGATTGAGGCAAAATATTTGAATAAATGGGATTTCTTTTATTGAAAAAACTTTATAAAATCATCCTGCATTTACAGGTGTTGATGAAACTGAAGAACATGTGCAGCGATGATGCGCGAATCATCCGTGAAATCAAAGACATGCATCAACAGCTCACCATCAAATATAAAAAGATCGACTTGTTCGACGTCGAGGTCCGAAAACTTAACCAGAGTCTTCTCAAAACGCAAACCGATTGTGAAAGAGATATCCAAAGATGCGAGAAGGATCAACAGGCGTATCAAAAGAAATTCGATTCACGCAAGGACAATATGCGAGCAGCGGAAAGGAAAAAGAATGAGGTGAAAAAAGGACAGAAAACACCCCTTTGTATAGATATATTCAAAAATCTCTGATAAAAACAGCGGAAATGAATAGCTTTTAATATCAAAAGTAAAGTGAAGTAATGCTAGAAATATGCATTATTAGAACCTCGTATGTATAATATTATAAGAGAGAGAGTATGTCTATGTGTCTGTCTGTTATGCGATTTTAGAAAAAAACGCTTGAGCCGATCGAACTGAAAGTTTGACATTATAAACCTAACTTTTTACGTAGTTTCATAAAATCTTATAAAATTTGACACATAATTTGACCGTTTTTCGTAAAAACGAAATTAAAGAATACCGCGTGGCTGAGTGGTGGTGCGTCCCGGCGTCCGATCTGCCAAGTTGAGCAACGTTGGGCTCGGTTAGTCTCGGATTCGATCCCAGCCCAATGCAATCTTTTTTCCTTTCTTTGTTTTTACACTTTTTGAGTGAGAAAGGTTACGGGTTCGATTCCTCTATGGGTAAAGTCTCAAAGTATAATATAGTTCTGCCATTTGAAGTAAAAAAATTAAAAAGTAAAAATTGAGTGGCACTACGGGGGGAGGAGGGCTGAACTAGGTCGTGTGAGCCGTGGACAAGCGCACTCCCGACTGCACCACGACGACAAAAACTATGGGTCATCCCCAAAACATTCAACCAGAATGATTAGGTTTGAATCCGACACGAATTCACACTGAATTCTTTGACGGATAAGCTAATAAGATTTGTTTCAGTTACGCGACGAGCAACTCGAAGAGGAGGAGATACTGCGACAGCTACAAAGGAAAAACGAGCGTCACGACGAGGATACGAAGAATTGTGTGAACGTACAGGGGGGACTGGCCGGAGCAATGGCCGGATTGGGGGCACTTGGTTGGTTATCGGAAATGGATAGCTGTAGGCAATTTTTCGGATCACTTTTTTCTCTCTTTTCATTCCTATAACTAACTTTTAGCTGTGATCTTCCCGCCAGTCGGTGTGCCGGCACTGATCGCTGCTGGTGGAACGGCTGCCGGCGGTCTGACCGCTGGCGTGATCGGCATCATCGAACAAGCGCAAAAGGCCTCACAAGAGAAGTTGAACAGTCTCCGGGAGAACATTTCAAATGTTGGTAGACATCTTGATCAGCTCAAAAGTGAGTTTTCAATGTCGCCTAGACGATGCAGTTGAATAAAATGTCGATCAGATTCGGGCCTTTTTAATTCTGTACCTTTTACAGTATGTATCAGCCGATTACGCCTTTTTCTATAGCATTTAGTCCAAAAATAGTTGCTCTGAAAGCAAGAATTTCAGAAGAGATCAAAAAGGATGAGGAATGGGTACAATGGTACTGGAAGCAGATCGACGAAGCAAATAAAGAGTTGGACAAGGCAAGGAGGCATATCGCCAAGTGCAGAATGATGCAAGAGAATGGGAACATTTGGGTGGAACAGCTTGGCGCTTGGATCGACTTTCTGATAAGAATTACCCCGGAGGCCGAGCGGATTCAGGGGAACATTGGCGGGAATCCGAGGTCCCTTCAACGGTCCATCGACGATTTCAAAGGGCAATTTAATGGAGAGTTGAAGACACGAATCGATGGCTGTGCGAGGATTTTGGCGATAAAGAACCGGGCAGCGAATAGATATAGTGAATCTTCTAGTGAGAATTCCAGCGAGGACACTGATTCTAGTGATAATTCTGAGATTGATTCAAATTCTTCTAATAGTTCTCAGCCCGATTCTAGTGATAGTTCCAGTGGTACCGATTCTAGTACTTCTTCTAGTGCAAGTTCTAGTAATTCTAGTGATACTTCTGACGATTCCCGTGATGATTCTAGTCAATCTTCTTTCTGTTTCTGTGTTTCTTCCTGTGGAAGCTCAGATGATTCCAATGATAGCTCTAGTGGCGAAGAATAGCGAAAATGGTTTAGTTTTTCAGATTTATACATAGTTTTTTGCCATAGGACCATTCTTTCTGTAGTTTTTTGATTAAACCCTTGTCAACGACATCAACTTGGCTTTGCTCAATAAAAATTTTAAAATTAAAAATTGTCGATTAAACCACGAGTTCTTTGCCGTTCAATGTCAATTAAATCATTGGGATGTTTTTGTTATAGTTACTTGGCGAACTGCTTATCAATCGTCTCAATTTCTCGGCGATGATCCGTTATACGTCAAACAGTGAGAATTTGAAGTTGGTGATGATTACTCTTCATAGAAACTGACAAATCACTTCAGGCGAAACTCTCCTAAACAAGACGGGCTACCAAGAAGAAATCCAATGTATCGATGACGAGGATGCCGTGATATGAAAAACATCTTATAGTTTTTGATCTCTAATTTAAACCTCTACCTATTTGTTAATCTCTAAGCCTCGATCTCATTACCGTATTCCCTCCACTTTAGAAAATATGGGTCACTTTTGTCAATGTGCTGATCTCACTCGTTATTTTTGGATCTTTTGAAAGTTTTTACGGGTATTTTCACAATAAGCTTTCTTATTTTGTGTGCATAAATTTAACACTCGAATAAAAACTTATTGAATCTAAAAAAATTGAATATAAAAATTTGCATTTAACAAATAAACCCAAAAAGGCTTCAATTTTCTCTTCATACACAAAAATCAGACTACGAAAGATGCTCGGGCTTCGCTTGCCTGGTAAATTTTTATTATTTTAACTTGCTACTTGACATTTTATGCTTGCAAAACGCTATAAAAAGTAGAGAAAATCAGAAGTTATTTGCCTGTTTTTATACATTTCGGGTGCCCCGCCCCTCTCATGTTTTTATAGCTTGTTGTTAAAAATTGTTGAAATTGTTAAAAGTTCATCGTTGCGCAACTGAATATCCGCTACAGTTTTGGGTATATAACCCTTTCCAGAGAAAAACTTTTCATTTCGCTTTGATGCACTCGTGCAGATTACGCTTTTTTAGACTTGTTTTTGAATTTTTAAAACTTTACCACTGTTTATAATGTTTTTACTTTCAGCTACGATGAAATTGTTTGGTCGCTCGACGAAGACGCCACCTGAGATGGCGAAAGGACTCAAAGATGCTCTTCTTTTGATTGAAGTCGACAAAGAGAAGGATCGACGACGGAGAATTGAAGATGCCGGGAAACACCTGATGGCAATCAAAATGATGATTCAAAGCAATGAAGGACAGGAATCTGCAATTGAAATGGTAAGGGTTTTGGTGCTTCATGAGGCTGTGGTGGAATCGCCTATTCTAGTGTGGCTGCGTTATCCAATCTATTAGGTTGTTCGGATATAAACGAGCGTTTTAGTAGTCGACAAAGTTTACCTTAAAAACAGAAACAACACAGTTTAATCCAAAGTATATTCACCATTATGATTGATTGCTTCTTGCCATCTTTTGCGCAAAGGATTGATGCCGCTCTTGAAAAACTCAGCCGGCTGTGACTCGAAAAACTTGGCGACCCAATTTTGGACATCTTCACGGTTTTTGAATTTCTCATTGGCCAAAAAGTTTTGAATCGACCGGAATCAATGGTAATCGGAGGGAGCCAAATCGGGAGCATACGGCGGATGTGGTAAAACCTCCCATCCTAGATTCTCCAGTTTTTGCTGAGTCATCTTTGCAACGTGAGGTCTAGCGTTGTCATGGATGAACTTTATCTTTGATGTGTCTACTCCGTGACGAATGAGAACTTCATTGACCCGATCAAGTTGCTGTTTGTAGAGGTCGGATGTGACTGTTTGGCCGGTTTGTAGAAGCTCGAAATACACGAGGAGCTTGTTATTCCACCATACTGAGAGCATGATCTTTTTCCCATGAATGTCCGGTTTCACGGTCGGATATGGCCGTTCTCCTGGTCCTAGTCATTTCCGTTTTCGAATAGTATTATCGAAATGGATCCACTTCTCATCTCCAGTAACGAGAGAATCAAAAAAAGCCATGATATTTAGCGTGGCGGATGAGGATTTCGACAATAGCGACCCGTGAAGCCTTGTTTGCACTGCTTAACTCGTGAGGAAGCCATTTCCTGCATCTGATCGTCTTTCCAATGGCGTGGTGATGTTCATCAATAGTAGAATTTGAACATAGAAACTGTTTAGCAAGTTCACGCGTCGTTTGACATGGATCCGATTCGATTGCAGCCCTCAAAAGATCGCTGTCTACCGCTTGAGGTCGACGAAAGTGTTCATCATCCTCGAGACTTTCATCACCATTCCGAAAGCGTTGGAATCAGGCTCGGCATCGGCTTTCGGACAATACATTATTCCCAAAGGCTTTGACCAAATCTCGATGGGATTCTGTTTTGCCCAGTTTGAAATCGTAAAGTAGGCTTATTGATAAGTAAAGTAGACGCGAACGTGATATATTTGAAGTCGATCATCTAAAGAAAAAAGAAAAGCAAGAAAAAAGATCTTCAATATAAGAAATTATCCGTTTAAAAAGATTTCAAATGTACACAAGATAACGTACTTTTAAATACAGAAAGACATGTTTTAAAAGTTTCTCTCACAACAATAAGTTTAGCAACGCTTGTTTAAATCCGAACAACCTAATACATCCCGTCCAACCATTGTTTTACTGAAACAGCAGCTAAACTGAGAAAAAAGTGGGCCTGATGTAAAAGTTTTTTTTTCCTCAGAATTGATTAGCCCAATCAAACCTCTTGAAACTGACTTGAAACTGACTTGAATTGAAAGCTCGATTTTGAAAGCCGCAAGGATGCGGTTCTGATTATCGGATCGATGTTACGCCAACAGGTACTTGCATTCTTTATTCGATGTTGGTTTTTATTTAGCACGGAGTTCGCTGGCCCATGGCCGAACATTTGGCCGAGTGTCCCGAGGTGTTCGATCATCTCGTTAACTGGTGAGTAGTTTTTGATTCAGTGCAGTTACCGTTTATACTGAAGAAAACAAGCACATGACGAGTTTTTTAGTTACGAAAGTAGTGAGCTGTGTTCGGCTGTTGGACTTTTTTAGACTTGTTTTTGAATTTTTTAAACTTTACCACTGTTTATAATGTTTTTACTTTCAGCTACGATGAAATTGTTTGGTCGCTCGACGAAGACGCCACCGGAGATGGCGAAAGGACTCAAAGACGCTCTTCTTTTGATTGAAGTCGACAAAGAGAAGGATCGACGACGGGGAATTGAAGATGCCGGAAAACACCTGATGGCAATCAAAATGATGATTCAAAGCAATGAAGGACAGGAATCTGCAATTGAAATGGTAAGGGTTTTGGTGCTTTATGATGCTGTGGTGGAATCACCTATTCTAGTGTGGCTGAGTTATCCAATCTAGTAATCAACAAATTGGGCAAGAATGCGTCTGGAGGTACTCGTTAGGTTTAGAACTAGACGCCATTCTTTGTTGAGCAAAATTTGGTTGCAAATGTTTAAATAGGGATTGTTCAAACTTTACTTACATATGACTTTGTGTTGCAAAGTGCCATCTCCAAACGATCCGCAGCACTTTATTAATTTAGCTTTGCATGCATATCGGCACCTATGTTGAGTTAGTATAGAGATGGGGAAAATGTAACTGCAATCAATGCTACACATCAATGATGAGGGACGACTGCAATGGGTCAATCCAATCTGAATTTTAGGTTGTGGCCATCAAAAGCACAAAGAAAAGATTATTAGCTGGTGTAAAAGAAAAATGACTGAAAATTGAATAAAAGTTTTCATTTTTTGTTGGTTCCTGATGAAATGATGTTTGTTACGTCTATTGTACCTTATCTATAAATCTATTTTATCTATAAACATACAGATATACAATATCCTGTACTATCTAATATGTTGGCTTTTTAACATATTTTGGAAATCCACTCTGAACGAGGAAATTTTTAATCTGGGTTTCTTTTTGCACTTGAAATTTTTTACTTTTCCTTTTTTTCCTCGTCACTTTTCCCACTTTTCCCACCCATTTGCCAAGTAGCCGTTCTTTGTGACTCAATTAATCACTAATTTTTGATAGCTGACCCTAAAACTTTTTCTAGAGTCAATATTTCTCGGATCTGTTTCTAGATTCGAGTCCGGCATGAAATTTTAGACTAGTTGGGTGAGTTTGGGAAAAAAAGATAATTTCTGAAAAAATTATAAGGTTCGAAATGAAGTGCTGACATTATAACTTTTTAACAGAATCTACATTTCGTCCCAAACTCAGTCCCAAAACTAACTAGTCGAGAATTTTATGCCGGACTCAAATCTGAAAACAGATCAGAGAAAAGACCTCAACCCCAGTGTCTCAAAGAATAAATGCGAAACAGACGTGCATCCAATCTTGCTTTCAAGTTTTGGTTCAGATTTTCCGTATTCGTTTAATAAGGATCTTAAGGAAGATGGCGTTCTTTACGTTCAACGGGGTGACGAAAAAGCTGAAAGTGGCGGCGGTGAAACCGGCGGTGCTCTCGACGGTGTTCAAACTCGAGCCCGACTCGATCGTGATCACCGACGACGACGAGGGAGAAGTGCATCTGCCCGATGGGGCTCGATTCGATCCACCGCTCATCGACGGGCGTCGATACAGTGTTTGCATTTTAGCCTTTTTTCTAAATTTAACAGCTTACTGTATTTGCTTACCTTAAATTATACAATCAGCTTCAGTAGAGAACCAAGTTCACAAATTAACTCTGGTTATCATGATTTCAATGAAGGTCTGGATAGTAGATATAGTGAAACCCACAAATACGACATTAATTTTTTTCCGTACCTAATAGTTTCGCAGGTGGGTTCGATCGGATCGGTTTGTATCGGATACGGCTCTCGGATCGGATGCAATCGATAGGTCGGACCCATTGGATCGGATCAGACCGGATGTATTCGATAGGCGAATTATCGGATCGGATGAAACCGGAAATTTTCTTCAAAAACGCAAATTTTGGAGATTTTCTGAATCGAATAGGATCGGATATATCTGATATATCCCATTGACCAGATTCACCGGAACGGATCGGATTGCAATGGTAATCTTCTCTTTAGGTGGACGGGTTCGAGCTGGCTTCGGGATCAAGGGCCCGGATCAAGGAACAACAAATTGATGTGGGTAGTTGATTATATTAAAGTTTGTTCAGTTCGGGCGTTCATAAGTTCGTCTAGTTCGTTCACTTCACTTCAGTGAACGAACTGCACGGACTTTCAAATTCCGACAACTAGAAAGTGCTTTCTAGAAAATCCGTGCAGACCAAAGTTTGCGTTTGCTCCGAAACCAAGTGGATCTTATAGAATTTTGACTTGTGATTATTAGCTGCCACAACCCGGGTAAATGCTAAATATTTTGTGAAGAAGTTTTTGAGCATACTTCATACGTGGCTTTTCTCTTTACGGTTTTCTTTCTTGAAGATGAAATCTTGTTGTTACCACTAAACTTTTCAGAACAGCCATCGGTTAATTTGGAAGCCGTAACAGTTTAGGAAATTCCTTTGAAAAAATTGAAAAAATACCTTGCTGACCTCATAACTTTTTTCCGAAAATATATTCTTGTCTCAACCTGACCCACCTAGTGCATAATTTCATGCCAGACTCAGATCTGAAAACAGATCCGAGAAATATTGACGCTAGAAAAAGTTATGGGGTCAGCTATCGAATTTTCGGGATTTTGATAAGGGGATCATTTGAAGTTCTTTTCAGAAGCTGATCACCGGCTTGATCTCAACGACGAGCGATCTGGACCACTGTGTGGGAATGTTGTACAATGCTCCTCAGGCTGTGGTCCTTGTCGAAGCTCTTGCTATCTTAGCCGCTCCGGCCACTGATCCATCGCTTGTCAGTGAAGAGATGCCCCTCGGAGAGTTCAGAAGACTCAAGACACCATCGTCTTTCAAGGTGGATTTTTGAACTATGATAGGTCAAAATCACCATTGATTAGGCTTCGCTGTACCAAGTGGCCTCGTCAATGTGCAACGCTTTCCGGACGGCCGACGTCTCGATGATGACCATCAAGGCGAAACTGGCGGATTTGCCCGATGACTTCGTGTCGACACTGGAAGTGACTGGAGAGGTATTGAATGAATATTTGAAAATTTATATGAAACATATGTGCACTAATAGATGTGCATTTAAAAAGCAATTAAACATGGGCATTTATAAAAAAAGGCTTTCACTATTCTTTCAAATATAAAAGTGTTTTCCTGAAGTAGCGAGTAGCAGATAGAATACCAATAAAAAAATTATAACTTTCATAATGTTTACTTTGAATACAGATTCACAAACCAAATTTACGGAATGATGATGTCGCTACTCTCCTCAAGAAGATCCTCAAGCGGACCACCGATCGAATTGCCGAAGCGTCGAAGAAATGCGTGGAAATGGCCAAAAAGTCGAGTCAGACATTTCACGAGACCATCAATGTTATCGACGAGCTGTGTCAAGCCGCTATGGTCACAAAGGGAACCAATGAGGCGGCTTTGACGGAATTGAAGAAACTGAAAGTGGACTTGGATCGACGAAAACAAGCACTGCAAATGGCCGAACAAGAGCTCCGACAACAGCACGAGGAGACAAAAAAGCGAGCAAAGGAGGTGGGTGCTGTATGCTAGACATGAACATTAGAGAGTAAATGCACGGAATTCTTGTTTTGCACAGCATAATTTTGAAATGCAACAAGAATCGATTGCCTAGGTGTACCGGTTACGTGGTTACTACTGTAGTTGCTGTTTTTGGATTAGCTAAGCCTACAAGCAGCTTTTCCAAAGTTTAGTAAAACAAGGAAGATGGTTTAGGATCAGGGGGCGAACAGTGGCAATGTGGGAAACATTTTCTAGGCGTCTATCTATGGTGGAGTGATGGATACGGTGAAAGCGGTCGAGAGCCAAAAGGAGAAGAAACTCCGGAAAGAGCTCAAGAAGACGACAATGGAACTGTCGGGAATTTTGGGGAAACTGACGAATTTGGATCTGGAGAAGGTCGATCTAGACGATATCATCAGCTATCTTCAAGATGGAATTCAGTACTTGGGAAAGGTTTGCTAATATCTCAGCAAACATCAAATGAAATCAAACAGTTTTTAGGTGAAAGAGAATTGGAACGAGCTGACTAACTTCTTCGATGCAATCCTGATTTTGGTGGAAACGAATCTGAAGGACAACATTGACTCTTTTCTCTTTTCTCGGGTACAGTAGGAATTTAATTAGAAACTATGTTTGATTAGATACGACAGACATCTTTCTAAAAAACTAAAAACCAATGTTGCAGTCGAATCATATTCAAATCTGAAATTCCAGGACCCGGCGTCTAGACGTTGCATGTTGGAAAGTGCGCTGAAGGCGACCGGTTACTGTATCCAAGTGAGCAATTGTGCCGAGATCTACACAAAAGTCTCCCGCCTATATGTCATGCCAACAATCAACGGAGTCGGAAAGCAATTCGCTCTGACAAATGCCGACGCTAAAGTGAGTTCGAGTTTTTTGTTTGAGTTCCAACTTTACGCGCTTGTATCTCCAAAACCACAAAACCAATTTTGACAAATTTGGTATCATTTTGTTGGAAAAGACGTGAATTTTCTTAAAATAAAGTTACATTTGAGAAAGAGCAATTTGTTCTACAAAATTTCGATGTGATCGGATTCGGACGCCTCAAAAAATGTTGTGAAATTCGAACATCCGAATCCGACCACATCGAAATTTTGTAGAAAAAAAGAGCTCTTTCTCAAATGTAACTTTATTTTAAGAAAATTCACGTCTTTTCCAACAAAATGAGCTATGGTACATGTGATTTGACAAATGTTTAGGTTACTAAAAAGGAGTCACAAAAACAGTCCTTTTTGAAGGTTTTTTGTTAAAAATTTTTTAGCCTCTTAATAAAATAAAAAGATATATACGTCATTTTGTACAGCAAAAATTTATGCATCGATTGATACCAAAACCATAAAAAATATCAATCCTGCGCGTTTGCAGGAATGTGGTCGGATCCGGACGCCTGGTCTGATTCGGACATAACATATAGTATACATACATGATTTCGGGCAGGGCTCGGTTGCATCCGATGGGTCGGACCCACCGGATCGGCTCGGATCGGATGTATTTAATGAACGGATCAGATTAGTTCAGATAAAGCCTCAAATTTTCTTCAAAAAACAACGCATATTTTGGAAAAATTTTGAATCGGATAAGATCAGATATATTCAATGCTCAGGCTCGTCGGACTTATGCGAACTTATCGGATCGAATCAGATTCATTTGATTGTCAATTTTACCTGATCAGATATATCCGACACGATAACCATCAACTTCTTACAATTCCAACATGATCAACGTTCTTTGTCTTCTTCATCAACGTAAAGAGTTCTTTTCAGGCAAAGAAGGGCGATATCGAGAACATGCTCAACGCGTCGGTGCGCGGTGTGCAAACTTTAATCGAAAACGAGCGAAAGAATTTCAACGAAAGATTCAAGGACCAAATGATCGGATATGCGGATAGCTATGCGAATTGCAGCACCTGATCGACCCGTTCAACAAGCATCTTAAGAATATCTCTTGGAAAATAAGAATATCTCTTGTTTCTTTGATGTTTATAAAATAAATTGATTTTTGTTGAGTTGGTTTTGTATTTTGAAGATTTTGAATATCTTTGTATCTATCAAAACTTATGGCTCTTTTATGTTTAACTTTGGTTTCAGTGTGGCTCTGGCTGAGTGGTAGTGCGTCTCGGCGTCCGATCTGCCAAGTTGAACAACATTGGGCTCGGTTAGTCTTGGATTCGATCCCAGCCCAATGCAATCTTTTCTCCTTTCTTTCTTTTTACACGTTGGGGTGGGAAAGGTTACGGGTTCGATTCCTCTATGGGCAAAGAAATTATATCTACTATACATAAAAGAGCAGGGTCAGTCCGTCTGTGCATCTCATATTTCGTTTTTTTAAAAAGCAAAAGTCCCAACACAGCCGGGAGTCGAACCCGGTTCGTGTGGGCGTGGGCAAGTGTCTGTCCGACCGTTCGTCCGTCTGTAGCCGTCTTGGGGCCAAGAAAAATAAATTTTTTTGAAAGTCTTAAAGTATAATATAGTTCTGCCATTTGAAGTAAAAATTAAAAAGTAAAAATTGAGTGGCACTACGGGGAGAGGAGGGTTGAACTAGGTCGTATGAGCCGTGGACAAGCGCACTTCCGACTGCACGACGGCGACAAAAACTATGTGTCATCCCCAATGTCCGCCGTTAGGCGAGTTTTTCTGGCTGGCATGTATAAAAGAAGAAATATTAGGTTTGAATCCGACACGAATTCACACTGGATTCTTTGACGGATAAGCTAATGAGATATGTTTCAGTTACGCCACGAGCAACTCGAGGAGGAGCAGCGACTGCGACAGCTACGATGGGAAAACGAGCGTCACAACGAGAATACAAAGAATTGTGTGGTCGTACAAGGGGGATTGGCCGGAGCATTCGCCGTATTGGGGGCACTTGGTTGGTTATCGGAAATGGATAGGGCAATTTTTCGGATCACTTTTTTCTCTCTTTTCATTCCTATAACTAACTTTTAGCTGTGATCTTCCCGCCAGTCGGTGTGCCGGCACTGTTCGCTGTTGGTGGAACGGCTGCCACCGGTGTGGCCGCTGGCGTGGTCGGCATCATCGAACAAGCGAAAAAGGCCTCAGAAGAGAAGTTGAACAGTCTCCGCGAGAACATTTCAAATGTTGGTAGACATCTTGATCAGCTCAAAAGTGAGTTTTCAATGTCGCCTAGACGATGCAGTTGAATAAAATGTCGATCAGATTCGGGCCTTTTTTGAATTCTGTACCGTTTTACAGTATGTATCAGCCGATTACGCCTTTTTATATAGCATTTAGTCCAAAAATAGTTGCTCTGAAAGCAAGAATTTCAGAAGAGATCAAGAACGACGAGGAACTGGTGCAATGGTACCGGAAACAGATTCACGAGGCAAACGTGAAGCTGGACCAGGCAAATCGGAGCATCATCGAGTGTGGCGATATGCAAAAGAATATCAATATTTGGACGGATCACTTGGGTGCCTGGATCGCTTTCCTCATCAAAATCACCCCGGAAGCCGGCCGAATCCAGGGAAATGTCGAGGGAAATACTCGCTGGCTTCGGCGCTCCATTGAGGAATTTAAGATCACTTTCAGCGGAGAGATCAACATTCTAATCGAGGCGTGCGCGAAGATTTTGGCGATCCAAAATTAGAAAGATCAACCACTCCTTTAAAATGCTGTTTGAATGTGTTTTTATTTGTACTTTGGAAAATATTAACGCATTTAATATTTTTTTTGACTGATTTTTTTACATGAATAAAGTATTGATATATATGATCCCTGAACACTCCTACTAGTTTTATTTATGCCAAAAGCTCCTTGAGTTCCAATATTTTGCTATTTTTTGGTCAAAACTTCCTGTTACTTCAAAACATCCTCTTATTTACCTGTAAACCAGACAAAATGCCAGCTTCACCATCTCAAACTCACAGCAAAATTGCACCCAAGAATTTCATTGAAAGAAAAAATGACAAAATTAGTTTCAAATAGATTTGCCATTGGGCTGTTCAACTTTTTTCCGCTCAAATTGAACGTTTCGGAGAGAAATTAGCTTTTAGAAGAAAAACTGCAAAGAAAAAAACCTCGACCTATTTGTTAATCTCTAAGCCTCGATCTCATTACCGTATTCCCTCCACTTTAGAAAATATGGGTCACTTTTTTCAATGTGCTGATCTCACTCGTTATTTTTGGATCTTTTGGAAGCGTTTACCGGTATTTTCACAATAAGCTTTCTTTTGTGTGCATAAATTTAACACTGGAATAAAAATTTATTGAATCTAAAATAATTGCATATAAAAATTTGCATTAAACAAATAAACCCAAAAAAAGCATCAATTTTCTCTTCATACACAAAAATCAGACTACGAAAGATGCTCGGGCTTCGCTTGCCAGGTAAATTTTTATTATTTTAACTTGCTACTCGACATTTTATGCTTGCAAAAAGCTATAAAAGTAGAGAAAATCAGAAGTTATTTGACTGTTTTTATACATTCCGAGTGCCCCCCTTTCCGACGTTTTTGGCCCATAACTTTCTTCAAACTTAACTTTTTTGACTGATTTAGTTATCATTTTATTTCTTACATTAAAACAAATCTAATGATCTAATGAATCTGATAATCTAATAAGTTTGAAGAAAGTTATGGGCAAAAAACGTTTAGAGGAACATAGGGCCCCCCCCCCCCGCCCCTATGTCCCTCTAAACTCGGAATGTATCACTGTTTTCACATATTCCGTCAAATTGGTTTTCTAAAACGTACTTGTTTTAAAAGCTATAAAAAGTAGAGAAAATCAGAAGTTATTTGCCTGTTTTTATACATTTCGGGTGCCCGCCCCTCTCATGTTTTTATAGCTTGTTGTTAAAAATTGTTGAAATTGTTAAAAGTTCATCGTTGCGCAACTGAATATCCGCTACAGTTTTGGGTATATAAGCCTTTCCAGAGAAAAACTTTTCATTTCGCTTTGATGCACTCGTGCAGATTACGCTTTTTTAGACTTGTTTTTGAATTTTTAAAACTTTACCACTGTTTATAATGTTTTTACTTTCAGCTACGATGAAATTGTTTGGTCGCTCGACGAAGACGGCACCTGAGATGGCGAAAGGACTCAAAGACGCTCTTCTTTTGATTGAAGTCGACAAAGAGAAGGATCGACGACGGGGAATTGAAGATGCCGGGAAACACCTGATGGCAATCAAAATGATGATTCAAAGCAATGAAGGACAGGAATCTGCAATTGAAATGGTAAGGGTTTTGGTGCTTCATGAGGCTGTGGTGGAATCACCTATTCTAGTGTGGCTGAGTTATCCAATCTAGTAATCAACAAATTGGGCAAGAATGCGTTTGGAGGTACTCGTTAGGTTTAGAACTAGACGCCATTCTTTGTTGAGCAAAATTTGGTTGCAAATGTTTAAATAGGGATTGTTCAAACTTTACTTACATATGACTTTGTGTTGCAAAGTGCCATCTCCAAACCATCCGCAGCACTTTATTAATTTAGCTTTGCATGCACCTCTGTTGATTTAGTATAGAGACGAGAAAAATGTAACTGCAATCAATGCTACACATCAATTACCCTAGAGTCGCGAGTATAAGTTCTGTTTGGTTTTTGCATTGACGGCTGTCTCCGGTGCGGTGTGTCGAGGGTTCGAACCCCGCTGCAGCATAACTTTTTTGCTTTTTAAGAACAATAATAAAAGTTTATATAACAATAAAAATGTATAAAAACCCAACAAAAAGAAATTCAAAGCAATTAAAGCGACATAAAAAAGAATTCTGTGCTTAGCTTCGAAACTGTTTCATCCGTCAAAGCTCTTCGAAATCCATTAATAATGCAAGAAGAGGGGACCGCATCGAAACTTTTCCTTACCCATTCCGCAACTGTCTCGTAGCTTTTTTTTTGTCTCGACAGGGTAAATTGGTCGTTTCGGCTATCGGACATCCATTCTTCCCAGTGAGCCTTTAGATTGTCCTTGAATGGCTTATTGACGCTGATGTCAAGCGGTTGTAGAAATCGAGTTAGCCCTCCTGGAATCACAGCCAGCTTCGAGTGTTGCTGAATTTCAGCCTTGACATTATCGGTTAAGTGACAGCCAGCTGGGTCCAATACGAGCACTGATTCTTCGGATTTGGCCGCCGGATTTGCTTGTCGCAACCAAATTTCATTGATCCACTCCTTCATCAAGTCCGAATTCATCCACCCTGTCGGATTAGCTTTGATGATCACACCGGGAAAATTTCCTTTAGGAAGAGTCTTTCGCTTGAAAATGAGTATCGGTGGGAGTTTCGATCCATCGGCTAGAATTCCGAGCACAACTGTGAAATTCGTCTTCTCATTTCCTGTTGAAGCGATCGAAATATCATCCTTTCCTTCGACTGTTCAGTTGGAAACAATGTCGAATGGAACCGGAACCTCGTCTAAATTTCCAAAATTGTTTGGTGAAACATCATAAAATTCTCGACAGAACGATCGAAAAGATGATTTCTTGCTTTGACAGTCCTTTGGAAGTGGTTGTCCAACGCTCGTCCTCCGCCGCATCGACAAACCATTCCGCCTCATGAAATTTTGAATCCACGAATTGCGGGGTGAAAACGGACGAATCCCAAGTTTCGTTGCAATCTTCATGGCTTCTCGTTTCATTGCCGGTCCATTTACAGCTCGTTGTTTTGATCGCCTCTCCAGAACCCATGCCTTCAGATCTTTCGCCACATCCGGGCATTTTGCCCTGAATCCTTGGAAAGCTCGCTTATTTTTTTGGTGAAGTCATCAGTGCCGGCTCAGCTTGTTTCCAGCGGTTAATCATCTGTTCGGCGACTTCAAATTCGATCGCAGCCGCGTTCGTTCCAAGTTTCATCGCAAATTTGACCGCTTCGAGCTTCGTTTCGGCGGTGTACGACCTTCTTCTCATCGTATCTAAAATGAAAAACGTTAGTAAAATAAAAAACAATAAAAAACAATAAAAATGAAAGAAAGAAGAAAATTTTCCATCAGAGCCCTTTAAATGTAAATTAAGGCAGAACTTATACTCGAGACTTTAAGGTAATGTTTGTTTATAAATAACATCAACTAACTTATCTTTTAAACATTTAAAATTCTTTTACTTTAGAACAGCCAACTGCTGACGGAGTTTATGAAAGGAGATATCGCTCGACACATTATCATCAACTTGAGCCTGCTCGATTTTGAAAGCCGCAAGGATGCAGTTCTGATTATCGGATCGATGTTACGCCGACAGGTACTTTCATTCTTCATTCGATGTTGGTTTTTATTTAGCACGGAGTTCGCTGGGCCATGGCCGAACATTTGGCCTAGTGTCCCGAGGTGTTCGATCATCTTGTTAACTGGTGAGTAGTTTTTGATTCAGTGCAGTTACCGTTTATACTGAAGAAAACAAGCACTTTACAAGTTTTTTAGTTACGAAGGTAGTGAGCTGTGTTCGGCTGTTGGCAAAATTCTCCGAGACTCCATTCGGCATGAAGTTTGTTGCTCTTTAACTTTGATTGTTTAGAGACTTGCTAGCATGTTGCTGATCTCGCTGCTGATGTCACTCAAAGGCGTTATGGAAGAGCACGAGTCGTTGAGGTGGATGGACTTTGAATTGTTTATATACCAAATTATTTAGGCTGTTTCAAACGAGCTTGTGCAGGTAATCTTTATAGATGAGGGACGACTGCAATGGGTCAAGCCAATCTGTTTGGCAGTGATGCCAGTGAGTTGTGCTTCCAATTCACTTAAAATGTATTCTAGGACAATTTCTGCTATCATCCTTGGCAAGCAATGTACATGTGTCTGGGTGGAGTTTCCCCAATTGATTCGGTAAAGTGGTAAAGTTAATACGTACTCTCGTGATCATTTTTGATTTTAGACTGAACCAAGGACTGAAAGTTGGACTGGAAAACATGATGCGGCTTTTCGTGAAATCATTCGAGAGTTTGAACTGTTTAAGGTAAAAGCTTGGCTACAATATTATTAATTTAAAGCGTTCTATACATTATGTTGCGGTAAAATAGTCTTTGTTGTTTGAAAAGGTACAAGCTGAATTTTAGGTTGTGGTCATCAAAAGCACAAAGGAAAGATTATTAGCTGGTGTAAAAGAAAAATGACTGAAAATTGAATAAAAGTTTTCATTTTTTGTTGGTTCCTGATGAAATGATGTTTGTTACGTCTATTGTACCTTATCTATAAACATACAGATATACAATATCCTGTAGTATCTAATATGTTGGTTATTTAACATAATTTGGAAATCCACTCTGAACGAGGAAATTTTTAATCTGGGTTTCTTTTTTGCACTTGAAATTTTTTACTTTTCCTTTCTTCCTCGTCACTTTGGCATCGTTTCCCCACTTTTCCCACCCATTTGCCAAGTAGCCGTTCACTGTGACTCAATTAATCACTAATTTTTGATAGCTGACCCCAAAACTTTCTTAGAGTCAATATTTCTCGGATCTGTTTCTAGATTCGAGTCCGCCATGAAATTCTAGACTAGTTGGGTGAGTTTGGGAAAAAAAGATAATTTCTGAAAAAATTATAAGGCTAGAAATGAATTGCTGACATTATAACTTTTTAACATAACATTTCGTCCCAAACTCACGTAACTAGTCGAGAATTTTATGCCGGACTCAAATCTGAAAACAGATCAGAGAAATATTGACTCTAGAAAAGGTTATGGGGTTAACGATCAAATTTTTGGGATTCTGACCGTCTTCTGCAGAAAAGATGCACTATACAGTGGAGGAAAAACATTGCCAACTTTAAAAACTGACTAGTCACTGTGGACGATGACTGGTTTTTCCAAAAACATACATGTTGGGTAAATGCAGTTGCCCCTACCTGCATTTAATGTTGTAATTGAATAGTGTCAAGGTTTATTCCTTGGTCGTACGACTAGATGTTACATGAGCCCGGACTGAGGATCAGAGTCGTTTCCGGCGCCCTTTGTCTGGGCGTAGCCCAGACCAGAGAGCCGCTGACCTCAACCCCAGTGTCTCAAAGAATAAATGCAAAACAGAGGTGCATCCAATCTTGCTTTCAAGTTTTGGTTCAGAGATTCAGTATTCTTTTAATAAGGATCTTAAGGAAGATGGCGTTCTTTACGTTCAACGGGGTGACGAAAGAGCTGAAAGTGGCGGCGGTGAAACCGGCGGTGCTCTCGACGGTTTTCAAACTCGAGCCCAACACGATCGCGATCACCGACCAGGACGACGAGGGAAAAGTGCATCTGGCCGATGGGGCTCGATTCAATCCACCGCTCATCGACAGGCATCGATACAGTGTTTGCATTTTAGCCTTTTTAGACTCAAGGCCAATAAGCATCTGCAGCGGCGTAGGCGACGCCGGAAATTGAGACCCACAAATACGACATTAATTTTTTCCGTACCTAATAGTTTCGGAGGTGGGTTCGATCGAATCGGTTTGTATCGGATACGCCTCTTGGATCAGATCGGATGCAATTGATAGGTCGGACCCATCGGATCGGATCAGACCGGATGTATTCGATAAGCGAATTATCGGGTCGGATCGGATAAAACCGCAAATTTTTTTCAAAAACGCAAATTTTGGAGATTTTCTGAATCGAATAGGATCGGATATATCTGATATATCCCATTGACCAGATTCACCGGAACGGATTGCAATGGTAATCTTCTCTTTAGGTGGACGGGGCCGAGCTGGCTTCGGTTGTGGCTCAGAGAACGGCGGAGATGAAGCGACAAGTGGCCGAGATCGAGGGACAACAAAGAGATGTGGGTAGTTGATTATATTAAAGTTTGTTCAGTTCGGACTTTCAACTTCCGACAACTAGAAAGTGCTCCTTAGAAAATCCGTGCAGACCAAAGTTTGCGTTTGCTCTGAAAACAAGTGGATCTCATAGAATTTTGACTTGTGATCATTAGCGGCCACAACCCGGGTAAATGCGAAATATTTCGTGAAGAAGTTTTCTCTTTACGGTTTTCTTTCTTGAAGATGAAATCTTGTTGTTACCACTAAACTTTTCAGAACAGCCATCGGTTAATTTGGAAGCCATAACAATTTAGGAAATTGCTTTGAAAAAATTGAAAAAATACCTTGCTGACCTCATAACTTTTTCAGAAAATATATTTTTGTCTCAACCTGACCCACCTATTGCATAATTTCATGCCAGACCCAAATCTGAAAACAGATCCGAGAAATATTGACTCTAGAAAAAGTTATGGGGTCAGCTATCAAATTTTCGGGATTTTGATAAGGGATCGTTTGAAGTTCCTTTCAGAATCTGATCACCGTCTTGATCTCAACGACGAGCGATCTGGACCAGAGTGTCGGAATGTTGTACAATGCTCCTCAGGCTGTGGTCCTTGTCGAAGCTCTTGCTATCTTAGCCGCTGCGGCCCCTGATCCATCGCTTGTCAGTGAAAACATGCCCGCCGAAAAGTTCACAAGACTCAAGACACCATCGTCTTTCAAGGTGGATTTTTGAATTATGATAGGTCAAAATCACCATTGATTAGGCTTCGCTGTACCAAGTGGCCTCGTCAATGTGCAACGCTTTCCGGACGGCCGACGTCTCGATGATGACCATCAAGGCGAAACTGGTGGATTTGCCCGATGACTTCGTGTCGACACTGGAAGTGATTGGAGAGGTATTGAATGAATATTTGAAAATTTATATGAAACATATGTGCACTAATAGATGTGCATTTAAAAAGCAGTTAAACATGGACATTTATAAAAAAGGCTTTCACTTTTCTTTCAAATATAAAAATGTTTTCCTGAAATAGCGAGTAGCAGATAGAATACCAATGAAAAAAAAATTATAACTTTCATAATGTTTACTTTGAATACAGATTCACAAACCAAATTTACAGAATGATGATGTCGCTACTCAGAAGATCCTCAAGCGGACCACCGATCGAATCGCCGAAGCGTCGAAGAAATGCGTGGAAATGGCCAAAAAGTCGAGTGTGGCATTTGACGAGACCATCAAGGACATCGACGAGCTGTGCCAAGCCGCTAATGTCGCAAAGGGAACTAATGAGGCGGCTTTGAAGGAATTGGAGAAACTGAAAGAGGACTTGGATCGAGAACAAGAAGAACTGCGAACAACTGAAGAAGAGCTCCAAAAACAGCACGAGGATACAAAAAAGCGAGTAAAGGAGGCTCTTCAAGAGTACAAGGTGGGTGCTGTATGCTAGACATGAACATTACAGAGTAAATGCACGGAATTCTTGTTTTGCACAGCATAATTTTGAAATGCAACAAGAATCGATTGCCTAGGTGTACCGGTTACGTGGTTACTACTGTAGTTGCTGTTTTTGGATTAGCTAATCCTACAAGCAGCTCTTCCAAAGTTTAGTAAAACAAGGAAGATGGTTTAGGATCAGGTGGCGAAAAGTGGCAATTTCGGAAAGATGCGCTTGGCGACTTTGTGTGATGGAATGATGGATACGGTGAAAGAGGTCGTCTCATTGTTGGCGAAAATGTGGAAGATGTTGAAGGAGAAACTCCCGAAATTGCCCTGGACCGAGAAGTGCTCACCCACAATGCGATATGCTATGGTTCGTGTTACTTTTCGTGGAGTATATTTTGGTAACCCAAACCCAGGTAAAGTAGATACAAAGGTCAAGTTTAGTTACTCGTTAGTAGACTTGGTTTACGGATCAGCTCCGTCTCGGGCTGGTTCGGCTCAATAAGATCCATTCAGACAGACAGCCACGACTGAAACGTAGTGCTGCTGGAAGAAGCCTTTTTGGACTTTTTGTCACTGGTTATGCCAACACACGAAAATAAAGCCTTTGTTAACTGACGATAATCAAACAAAGTCCAAATGCTTTTGATCGGCTCAAGTGGGCGCCCCGCACCCAAAAACGAAGTTTATGCTTAGCCTTACAAAAAGTGCTTTGTTTCTCTTACTATTACTACATTTTAAAGTCATATAATTTCCGAGTTCTAACTTGTAGGAAATCTTTCAGGAGTCGAACCTGTTGCAAATGCTGGAGAAGATCATCGAGGATTTGGCGCGCCCCGGGGAAATGGGCGAAGAAACGGTGAAGGACTATATCCTTTCGTTGAAAGACTCGGAGAGGTACTCCCCGAGGACCGATGAAGGCATGGAAATCTATCGAAAAGCCAAGGAAGTCCGCGAATTTCTTGAGAAGGAACATCAAAAGCTGAAAGATTGTGGATTGAAACCAAGAATTGATGAACTAAGGGTTTCAGTTGGGAATGTGATTGTGGCAGCAAAAAGCGTTCAAGAGGATCGACAAAAGGATGAGAAAACGGCTACCAAGCTATCATTTACTGAAAGGCTCGTTCAAGCCGAAACGGTGAGTGCTTGGAAAGAAGAAATTGATATTTGAAGATTATAGTAGGCCAAGTTATTTGACAATTAATGGAGACATTTTATGCCATTTTTCCATCTTATCAGTCAAAGATTATTTCCAGGATCAAATTCGAATGAGGCAATCGCATCACACCGAGGAGAGCCAAAAGGAGGAGAAACTCCGCAAAGAGCTCAAAGAGACGACAATGGAACGGTCGGGAATTTTGGGGAACCTGACGAGTTTGGATCCGGAGAAGGTCGATCTAGACGATATTATCAGCTATCTTCAAGAAGGAATTAATTACTTGGGAAAGGTTTGCTAATATTTCAGCAAACATCAAATGAAATCAAACAGTTTTTAGGTGAAAGAGAATTGGGACGAGCTGGCTAAGTCCTTCAATGCAATCCTGATTTTGGTGGAAACGAATCTGAAGGGCAACATTGACTCTTTTCTGAAAGAGGCTCAGGTATGGTAGGAATTGAATTAAAAACTATGTTTGATTAGATACGACAGACATCTTTCTAAAAAACTAAAAACCAATGTTGCAGTCGAATCATATTCAAATCTGAAATTCCAGGACCCGGCGTCTACAGGTCGCATGTTGCGAAGTGTGCTGAAGGCGACCAGTTACTGTATCCAAGTGGGCAATTGTGCCGAGATCTACACAAAAGTCTCCAGCAAATATGTCATGCCGATAATCAGCGGAGTCGGAAAGGAATTCGCTCTGACAAAGGCCGAAGCCACAGTGAGTTCGAGTTTTTTTTTGAGTTCCAACTTTACGCGCTTGTATCTCCAAAACCACAAAACGAATTTCGACAAATTTGGTATCGTTTTGTTGGAAGAGACGTGAGTTTTCTTAAAATAAAGTTACATTTGAGAAAGAGCTATTTTTTTCTACAAAATTTCAATGTGATCGGATTCGGACGCCTCAAAAAATGTGGTCTAATTCGAACGTCCGAATCCGAACACATCGAAATTTGGTAGAAAAAAAGAGCTCTTTCTCATTGTAACTTTATTTTAGGATAATACAAGTCTTTTCCAACATGAGCTATGATACATTTTATTTGACAAATGTTTAGGTTACTAAAAAGGAGTCACAAAAAGGTTTTTTGTTAAAGGTTTTTTTTTTGTTAAAGGTTTCTTTTTGAAGGTTTTTTGTTAAAAATTTTTTAGCCTCTTAATAAAATAAAAAGATATATACGTCATTTTGTACAGCAAAAATTTATGCATCGATTGATACCAAAACCATAAAAAATATCAATCCTGCGCGTTTGCAGGAATGTGGTCGGATCCGGACGCCTGGTCTGATTCGGACATAACATATAGTATACATACATGATTTCGGGCAGGGCTCGGTTGCATCCGATGGGTCGGACCCACCGGATCGGCTCGGATCGGATGTATTTAATGAACGGATCAGATTAGTTCAGATAAAGCCTCAAATTTTCTTCAAAAAACAACGCATATTTTGGAAAAATTTTGAATCGGATAAGATCAGATATATTCAATGCTCAGGCTCGTCGGACTTATGCGAACTTATCGGGTCGAGTCAGATTCATTTGATTGTCAATTTTACCTGATCAGATATATCCGACACGATAACCATCAACTTCTTACAATTCCAACATGATCAACGTTCTTTGTCTTCTTCATCAACGTAAAGAGTTCTTTTCAGGCAAAGAAGGGCGATATCGAGAACATGCTCAACGCGTCGGTGCTCGGTGTGCAAACTTTAATCGAAGAGGAGCGAAAGAATTTCAACGAAAGATTCAAGGAGCAAATGAGCGGATATGCGGATAGCTATACGAATTGCAGCACCTGATCGACCCGTTCAACAAGCCATTGGAAAATAAGAATATCTGTTGTTGCTTTGATGTTTATATAATAAATTTATTTTTGTTGAGTTGGTTTTGTATTTTGAAGATTCTGAATATCTTTGTATCTATCAAAACTTATGGCTCTTTTATTTTTAACTTTGGTTTCAGTATGGCTCTGGCTCAGACGCTCAAAACTCGATACGCCGAGCAAAAAGAGGAAATCGAGCAAGTTTATCGAAGTTTCAAGGGGGTTCGTTTTCGGATTCAATAAGTTGCAAACTCTATCATGTTATTGTATAAGAAGTGAGAAGTACACGTGTAAAATATTAAAAATAGTAAATGCTTTTGGTCAGTACAAGTTTACTCTCCAAATTTAGTGGCTTTTTGATAATTATAGATTGAGGCAAAATATTTGAATAAATGGGATTTCTTTTATTGAAAAAACTTTATAAAATCATCCTGCATTTACAGGTGTTGATGAAACTGAAGAACATGTGCAGCGATGATGCGCGAATCATCCGTGAAATCAAAGACATGCATCAACAGCTCACCATCGAATATGAAAAGATCGACTTGTTCGACGTCGAGGTCCGAAAACTTAACCAGAGTCTTCTCAAAACGCAAACCGATTGTGAGAGAGATATCCAAAGATGCAAGAAGGATCAACAGGCGTATCAAAAGAAATTGGATTCACGCAAGGACAATATGCGAGCAGCGGAAAGGAAAAAGAATGAGGTGAAAAAAGGACAGAAAGCACCCCTTTGTATAGGTATATTCAAAAATCTCTGAGAAAAACAACAGAAATGAATAGCTTTTAATATGAAAAGTAAAGTGAAGTAATGCTAGAAATATGCATTATTAGAACCTCGTATGTATAATATTATAAGAGAGAGAGTATGTTTATGTGTCTGTCTGTTATGCGATTTTAGAAAAAAACGCTTGAGCCGATCGAACTGAAAGTTTGACATTATAAACCTAACTTTTTACGTAGTTTCATGAAATCTTATAAAATTTCACACATAATTTGACCGTTTTTCGTAAAAACGAAATTAAAGAATACCGCGTGGCTGAGTGGTGGTGCGTCCCGGCGTCCGATCTGCCAAGTTGAGCAACGTTGGGCTCGGTTAGTCTCGGATTCGATCCCAGCCCAATGCAATCTTTTTTCCTTTCTTTGTTTTACACTTTTTGAGTGAGAAAGGTTACGCGTTCGATTCCTCTATGGGTAAAGAAATTATATCGATCTACTATACATAAAAGGGCAGGGTCTGTCCGTCCGTCGTGCTGTACGCGAGTACGTGGGCCGATTCAGATGATTTTTAGTTTGTTAGACTTAGAATTCTATGTGGTTGTGCATCTCATATTCGTTTTTTTTTAAAAAGCAAAAGTCCCAACACAGCCGGGAGTCGAACCCGGTTCGTGTGGGCGTGGGCAAGTGTCTGTCCGACCGTTCGTCCGTCTGTACGGGCTTTTTCTCATCCGTCTTGGGGCCAAAAAAACTAAAATTTTTTTAAGTCTTAAAGTATAATATAGTTCTGCCATTTAAAGTAAAAAATTAAAAGGTAAAAATTGAGTGGCACTACGGGGGGAGGAGGGTTGAACTAGGTCGTGTGAGCCGTGGACAAGCGCACTCCCGACTGCACCACGACGACAAAAACTATGGGTCATCCCCAAAACATTCAACCAGAATGATTAGATTTGAATCCGACACGAATTCACACTGAATTCTTTGACGGATAAGCTAATAAGATTTGTTTCAGTTACGCGACGAGCAACTCAAAGAGGAGGAGATACTGCGACAGCTACAAAGGAAAAACGAGCGTCACGACGAGAATACGAAGAATTGTGTGATCGTACAGGGGGGACTGGCCGGAGCATGCGCCGTATTGGGGGCACTTGGTTGGTTATCGGAAATGGATAGGGCAATTTTTCGGATCACTTTTTTCTCTCTTTTCATTACTATAACTAACTTTTAGCTGTGATCTTCCCGCCAGTCGGTGTGCCGGCACTGTTCGCTGTTGGTGGAACGGCTGCCACCGGTGTGGCCGCTGGCGTGGTCGGCATCATCGAACAAGCGAAAAAGGCCTCAGAAGAGAAGTTGAACAGTCTCCGGGAGAACATTTCGAATGTTAGTAGACATCTTGATCAGCTCAAAAGTGAGTTTTCAATGTCGCCTAGACGATGCAGTTGAATAAAATGTCGATCAGATTCGGGCCTTTTTTGAATTCTGTACCGTTTTACAGTATGTATCAGCCGATTACGGCTTTTTCTATAGCATTTAGTCCAAAAATAGTTGCTCTGAAAGCAAGAATTTCAGAAGAGATCAAGAACGACGAGGAATGCGTGCAATGTTACCGGAAACAAATTGACGAGGCAAACGTTAAGCTGGACCAGGCAAATCGGAGCATCATCAAGTGTGGCGATATGCAAAAGAATATCCATATTTGGACGGATCACTTGGGTGCCTGGATCGCTTTCCTCATCAAAATCACCCCGGAAGCCGCCCGAATCCAGCGAAATGTCAAGGGAAATACTAGCTCGCTTCGACGCTCCATTGAGGAATTTAAGATCACTTTCAGCGGAGAGATCAACATTCTAATCGAGGCGTGCGCGAAGATTTTGGCGATCCAAAATTAGAAAGATCAACCACTCCTTTAAAATGCTGTTTGAATGTGTTTTTATTTGTACTTTGGAAAATATTAACGCATTTAATATTTTTTTAACTGGATTTTTTTACATGAATTAAGGATTGATATATATGATTCCTGAACACTCCTACTAGTTTTATTTATGCCAAAAGCTCCTTGAGTTCCAATATTTCGCTATTTTTTGGTCAAAACTTCCTGTTACTTCAAAACATCCTCTTATTTGCCTGTAAACCAGACAAAATGCCCGCTTCACCATCTCAAACTCAGCAAAATAGCACCCAAGAATTTCATTGAAACAAAAAATGACAAAATTAGTTTCAAATAGATTTGCCATTGGGCTGTTCAACTTTTTTCCGCTCAAATTGAACGTTTCGGAGAGAAATTAGCTTTTAGAAGAAAAACTGCAAAGAAAAAAACCGCTACCTATTTGTTAATCTCTAAGCCTCGATCTCATTACCGTATTCCCTCCACTTTAGAAAATAGGGGTCACTTTTTTCAATGTTTTGATCTCACTCGTTATTTTTGGATCTTTTGAAAGTTTTTACCTGTATTTTCACAATAAGCTTTCTTATTTTGTGTGCATAAATTTAACACTGGAATAAAAATTTATTGAATATAAAATAATTGCATATAAAAATTTGCATTAAACAAATAAACCCAAAAAAGCATCAATTTTCTCTTCATACACAAAAATCAGACTACGAAAGATGCTCGGGCTTCGCTTGCCAGGTAAATTTTTATTATTTTAACTTGCTACTTGACATTTTATGCTTGCAAAAAGCTATAAAAAGTAGAGAAAATCAGAAGTTATTTGCCTTTTTTTATACATTTCGAGTGCCCGCCCCTTTTATGTTTTTATAGCTTGTTGTTCAAAATTGTTGATATTATTTTTATTTTTTTTTTTATTTTAAAAAAAAAAAAATGTTTAAAAGAATTTATAAAAAAAAAATTTATGAAATTTTAGGGAGAAAAAAAAAAAAAAACCAAAAGGGGAGAAAAGAATGAATAATTTTTTTTATCAAATAAAAAAAATTGTTTTTAAAAAAATTGTTAAAAGTTCACTGTTGCACAACTGGATATCTGTTACAGTTTTGGGTATAAAGACGCTTTCCAGAGAAACAATTTTTCGTTATGTTTTGATGCACTCGTGCAGATTACGCGTTTTTAGACTTGTTTTCGAATTTTTAAAACTTTACCACTGTTTATAATGTTTTTACTTTCAGCTACGATGAAATTGTTTGGTCGCTCGACGAAGACGGCACCTGAGATGGCGAAAGGACTCAAAGATGCTCTTCTTTTGATTGAAGTCGACAAAGAGAAGGATCGACGACGGGGAATTGAAGATGCCGGGAAACACCTGATGGCAATCAAAATGATGATTCAAAGCAATGAAGGACAGGAATCTGCAATTGAAATGGTAAGGGTTTTGGTGCTTCATGAGGCTGTGGTGGAATCACCTATTCTAGTGTGGCTGAGTTATCCAATCTAGTAATCAACAAATTGGGCAAGGATGCGCCTGGAGGTACTCGTTAGGTTTAGAATTAGACGCCATTCTTTGTTGAGCAAAATTTGGGTGCAAATGTTTAAATAGGGATTGTTCAAACTTTACTTACATCTTACATATGACTTTGTGTTGCAAAGTGCCATCTCCAAACCATCCGCAGCACTTTATTAATATAGCTTTGCATGCATAGCGGCACCTATGTTGAGTTAGCATAGAGATGAGGAAAATGTAATTGCAATCAATGCTATGCACCAGTTAATGTTTATAAATAGTATCACTAACTTATTTTTTAAACATTTAAAATTCTTTTACTTTAGAACAGCCAACTGCTGACGGAGTTTATGAAAGGAGATATCGCTCGACACATTATCATCAACTTGAGCTTGCTCGATTTTGAAAGCCGCAAGGATGCAGTTCTGATTATCGGATCGATGTTACGCCGACAGGTACTTCCATTCTTTGTTCGATGTTTATTTTTTATTTAGCACGGAGTTCGCTGGCCCATGGCCGAGCATTTGGCCGAGTGTCCCGAGGTGTTCGATCATCTTGTTAACTGGTGAATAGTTTTTGATTCAGTGCAGTTACCGTTTATACTGAAGAAAACAAGCACTTTACAAGTTTTTTAGTTACGAAAGTAGTGAGCTGTGTTCGGCTGTTGGCACAATCCTCCGAGACTCCATTCGGCATGAAGTTTGTTGCGCTTTTTGTTGCTTTTTAAATTTGATTGTTTAGAGACTTGCTAGCATGTTGTTGGAGTCAAGGGGATTCTGGATGTTCTTCAAACTTGTGCAAGACGAACGTTTCGACATTGCCGGGGATTCGTTTTTGACGCTCAAAGAATTGCTCACTCGACACAAGGCTCTCGTCTCCCACTTCATCAACCAGAACTACGTTTGTTTCTTTGAGCATCTCAATGGACTCCTCGCTTCGGACAATTATGTGGCGAAACGTCAATCCATCAGAGTATGTTTTACCTTATTATTTGCCGGTTAAATCACGAGTTCTTTGTCGTTCAATGTCGATTAAATCATTCAGATATTTTTGTTTTAGTTACTCGGCGAGCTGCTTATCAATCGTCTCAATTTCTCGGCGATGATCCGTTATACGTCAAACAGTGAGAATTTGAAGTTGGTGATGAATCTCCTTTCTGAGCAATCACGAGCTATTCAATTTGAGGCCTTTCACGTGTTCAAAGTTTGTACATTTTCATTTATTTTTAATTGGGTTTTAGGTGTTCATCGCTAATCCTGAAAAGAATCAGGCCATTTTGGCAATCTTAACTCGCAATCGGTAAGTTATTTCCTTGACTTTTTCACGAATATGATTAATTTTAGAGTCAAGCTGCTTGGATTCCTACAGAATTTCTGCAATGAAAGGGACAAAGATGATCAATTCAACGATGAGAAGGACTACGTGATCCGGCAAATCAATACACTCCCATCGCACGATCAAACTCGATCAATGTCGCCAGGCCGTTTGATGCAGGAGGGGGAAGAGCTGCCCATTTCGCCTCTACGACATTCTCCTCAACTTTTGGAGCAACCTCGCGCTTTTGCCTGATCTCATCTCACTCAATAGTCTTTGTGTTCATGTAGCTCATTCATTAACTGTCTATATTCATTAAGTATCCTCTTTTTGTTTCCTCTCAGTTCAATATTTTTGCCTTAAATGAAATTCTCTTTGTGGCCGGGATTTCTGTTCTTTCCTCCCAGTTTTGTGCATGTTACTAGTCACTTGTGTGCTTTCACCGTCATCGGATCAAAAAGCTTTCTGCTGGGTTTTTTCTTTCATGCACCATTGAGATCATTGCTTACTAGTCTTTAATTTACTGGGATTTTTGTTGACTTTGTTACTGTTTGCGTATTAAGTCCGTTTCTTTGAATTGAATCTTTGAAATTGGATAGTTGACTATGATTCATACAAATAAATTCTTCCTAAATTCAAGGAATGAGATGGAAATAGTTTGACGTTTGGCTTATACATATACAATAATATTTCATTGCGAAATGGGTTTTGACGGATTTCATGCATTTTGATTAGTGAATGACGCATTATACAGTGAGCACAAACAGTCATTTTTCGGTTCCTTTAGCGAAGGAAAGAGTCGCGCTCCTTTTACCGTAGCCTTTTTTTTCCAAAGCTTACGCGACGAATTTGAAATTTTTGTGTTACGCGATGAATCTTAAGCTAATAGACTATTTACCTTGATGGTTCAAGATATCATTTGCTTTTAGCAAGTTTTACAAGTTTCTACCCTGTAAAATTGAGCTCAAGCTTTCTAAAGTTATTATTTTTAGATGGCAGAAAATGCTCCGGAAGATGGAGAATTTCTCGTCGACTGCGGTTTTGAACGACCCCCAAGTCCGATGTGCGATCCAACAAAGCAAAAGCCCGAAATGTTGAGGAACGGGAAGAAATTTTCTAAGGTTGGTCTTGAGTTTTTTTGAGTAGAAGGTATGCGAAAAGTAGCGAAGTAGAGTCTAATTGTTTAAGTCGTAAATTTGTTTATGTTTAGATCCATCATATTCCATTGGTCGGTGCTGCAATTGTCGAAGTGATTCACATCGAGAGCCCGAGTTCTTTTTGGGTCCGGCCTTACAATCATATCACTTCACAGCTGATCTTGGAGGAGCCAACAAGGTTAACTTTTTTTTTTGCATTTTGATTTTAACTTTAGTGAGCCGCTCATTCAATTCGCGAAGCACGAGTTCCCCAATTTGCTGAAGCGCTACTGTATGGCTCCATTGGAAGATCAAGTCAGTGAAGGCGATCTCGCTGCTGATGTCACTCAAAGGCGTTATGGAAGAGCACGAGTCGTTGAGGTGGATGGACTTTGTATTGTTTATATATCAAATTATTTAGGCTGTTTCAAACGAGCTTGTGCGGGTAATCTTTATAGATGAGGGACGACTGCAATGGGTCAATCCAATCTGTTTGGCCGTGATGCCAGTGAGTTGTGCCTCCAATTCACGTAAAATGTATTCTAGGATAATTTCTACTATCATCCTTGGCAAGCAATGTACATGTGTCTGGGTGGAGTTTCGCCAATTGATTCGTCTATGGTAAAGTTAATGCGTGCTCTCGTGATTATTTTTGATTTTAGACTGAAGCAAGACCTCGTTGGACTGAAAAACATGATGCGGCTTTTCGTGAAATCATTCGGGAGTTTGAACTGTTTAAGGTAAAAGCTTGGCTACCATATTATTAATTTAAAAGCGCTCTATACATTATGTGGCGGTAAAATAGTCTTTGTTATTTAAAAAAGTACAAGCTGAATTTTAGGTTGTGGCCATCAAAAGCACAGTGTTGCACGACAATTACGCAAAGGCACATCTTGTCGATTTGTTCGGATTGAAGAATAAACAGCTGGATCAATGCGACAAAGTGGACGTCGATATTTTGGGACTCTTCGGAGCACACTGTTATGGATCGGTAAATTATTTATTGCGTTCATTTGTAAATGTTTTCAGGTGGTTCAAATG